CTATAACAAAAGTAGGGGTTCAGCCCCTATATTTTTTGAATTTTCTTTCCTTTGTTCTTTTTCTTCTCATAAAATGTTGATTTTCTAGACTTAAACATGAAATTTATAATTCTCTTATGAAAATTATGAATAATTATTAAGGAAAGATGGTTATGGAACCTAGGGAACTACCCTAGGATATATGGTTTTACTTAAAAAAAATCCATTGCCTAGGTGACTAGATGACAAGGCACCCCCCTGTCGCCTAGCCTTGCCTTGGCGCCTTATTGTGTTTAGTACAGTTCCAAATTGAAATATGGATATGGATCATTATGTTGTATATCTGGCCTTTTGTTTGTACATACTGAAAGTGGATGAAATCTTGTACCTACTGAAAGTGTATGTTAATTCATGTGTCTCTTGCTAATATGATTCATTTTATGAGCAGCTTCTTGATATTATTTTTGTGGGTGGCTCAGTGGGGGTTTCCATGTAACCCTTACCTTCTCTTCGTTGGAAATGCTTTTTAGGAATATGCAGTGCGCAGTATAGGGAATCTTATTGAGGTTTATGGCCCTATTATGAATCTTTGATTTGATAATGTTCACTTGTCCTATGGCCCCTCTCTTGATTCAGAAAGTTGGGATTCTTTATTGTAAAGATGAGTTTTCTATGTGCTATAGGGCTGCAAATTATGACAGGGATGGAATTGGGAAATGAACTGCTTACCTGTCTTGATATTTTTGAGAAATGAACTGCTTACCTGACCCATGAATTCTGAAAAGCATCTAATCAAGCACAATGAATTATTTTGATTAAAGATATAACCTGTCTTGGTATTTTTTTTCTGGATGGAATTATGCCAAGCCAGAGTATGCACCTCCTTTGCCTTAATATTCCCATGTATACACAGTAATTACCATCTGTTTTATGATATGCATTTGTGTTATAATAATTTTTCATCAGAAGTGCTTTTTGGTTGAATTATGCAAAGCGGAGTTCCAAATATTGCTTGATTATCTTTAAGTTTCCTCCATATAACAGCATTGGTTTTATCATTTGTCAAATGCAGGCTGAGAAACCTAAACTGAATTTCAAAGACAAATACTCTGATTCATACAGAAGTGCCCACCCAACAGCACCTGTAATTGTTCCCTGGGTCTCCGGTGTTGTTAGTACATGACGAGACTTTGGTAATAAGAGGGGGGTGGCTAATCTGAAGATACTTCTCAAAATTTAAAGGTCTCAAATTTTGACCATCCATTGGAAGCTAGCTCAATCTAATTTGGACCATCCATTCTCCCCACTGTTTTTGCATGCACTTGGCCTTTGTTCATGTCTTCTATAGTTATTTTTAATGTCTTCTGGGTGTGTTACAATCCGAGCTTGGAAGAGGAAAAGAAGTGCTGTGTATGGTTCTAAAAGTGCTAAGGCTTACAGTCTTGCACCACCTGGAGGAATTTCTAGCATTGAGGATGTTGATCATGGTGCTACGACCTGCAAAGGTTCTTAGATAAATGATCTGTCATTGTTTATTCATTGTAATGTGGACGCAAATTGTTACACATAATTTATTGCTTTTGATATACTGTTTCTCCCAATGTTTTCAAAACCGTATCGAACTGGACGATTGAACTGGACGATAAATGATCTGTCATTGTTTATTCATTGTGTAACTCCCAATGTTACACATAATTTATTGCTTTTGATATACAGTTCTGTTTCAGCCCAGAACTGCATTTTGGCCAAAAACCATTGATTTGGTCAGCGAACTGCTGACCCAGGGGGTCGAACCATCAATTCAGACAACAGTTTTTTGCTGCTTTTATATTTTTTATTATTTTTTATTGTCAGAATGGACTGTTCATTTGGTTTGAATGGTCGGACTGTTTGACTTGAGAATAGGACCCAGAATCCAGTTCGGTTTTAAAAACCTAGGTTTCTCCTTTTTGACGAGCAATACATTTTTATTTTCATTGTTCTAATCAGGCCATCTTGAGAAATTTTCATGACAGGCCCCGTTTTCAGACCATAAAGGCAGGGTTCAAAGTATCAATTATCGATACACCCAATATGCACGTAACTTGCATATCGTGTGTTTCAATAGGCTATAACTGTTTTTATTAGTTTTTAACAATTTTTTTTTATCAAAATTGTTAGGTCAGTTTTAGATGAATTCGGATTTCATCCTCACAGAGTCACAGAATTCCAGATCTCCTGCGAGCAAAAATTCTACTCATACAGCATTCAGTTACAAATTGAGAATATCTTCAATTCTCCATGCATTTTCATGGGGAGATTTTTCCAGTGTATAACTGGGTTTCCATGATTTGATTTCAAAGGTGTATATAGAATTTTGGTTTGCTAAGTGTCCTGTCACCTCCCATACTTGTATGTTTTCATTTATGGGAGATGTTATTAATGCACGGCTGCAAGTACTGTGAGGTGAGTGTTCCTCCGGAGCTTGACAAAATAAAATATGATATGCTGGATATGGGGTGTATCAGTTCGAAATTTTGAAATGTGCATAAAGGGATTYGTGGGCCAACCTATTTATTACCTTAATCTTTTTGATTGCTTGTTATGCGTACAAAATACAAATTCATGCGGCATATATTCTATGAACAGCTTAGTTATTCCAACTTGTTAATCATCTCAATCATGAATCGACAGGAGTGAATGTTTTGTAACTTGAAAATTTAGGAAGGATTTTCACATTAGAAGGTTTCTGATCTGATCACCACTGTTTGATTTCAAATTCAATCCATTTATAGTTGGATCAAATAATTCAATTTAATTTAGATATGACTACATAGGTTTAAGTCTCAAACAAGTTATTTTCAATTTTATCTTTTTTTTTTTAATCTMAAAATTTACTCGAGGTGGAGGGGCGGCCACCTTAGAATTTATTAATCAACCAACTTCAAAAGGAAGGTAAAATAATACAGAAGATGACATAGCCCGCCTTGCCCCAAAACCCAATAAAAAGAACACTCTCAACCCAGCCCACAAGCTACATTAATCAATATGTAAGACAGGAATCTTCATATAATCTTCCCTCAAAAAATTTCTATGGTCTTGAGGAGAAACTACACATCTATTTCTTTCTCTAAGAGTATGAGAGAATTTAATTCTCGTGGGATTGCACATATCCTTGATATTTCCTAATAAGTAGGTAATATTCCAAGGATAAGAGGCCTTTTGAAACAAAATTTCAACTAAAATCTTATTATCACTCTCTACCTCAATAAGAGCAAGGGAGTTTACCTCAGGATCTGACAGATTACCTTGAAGCAAGCTAATTTTCAAAAGCCATTCATTAATTCTCTTGACAACGGTAGAAGAGGTAACCCCTTTACCTTTAAATCTACAACTACATCTCTCATTCCAAAGAATCCAAAGTAAAATGGGAGGTAAAATTTTGATAAGGCGCTGAGATTGAGAGTATGGGTGTAAGCGGATAGAATTCGAATCAGATCAGGTAATATCCGAATTCGAATTCAATTAGAAAATCTGATGTCCAATTTTGATTCGATTCAAATTTAATTAATTAATTATTTTAGATAATTAATAAATATTTTATTGATATAAAGTATATAAATATATAAATTATATAAAATATTTTATATTATACATAAGAATTAAATGATCGATTGAATTTAGATATTTATTGAATCGAATCAGGTCATATTCGAATTCAAATCCAATTAACAATTTAGTATGAATAGAATATCTGAATTTGACTAGTTAGATATTCAAATTCAATTCAATTATGTTGAACATTAAATTCAAAATCGAATTTTGGAATACCATTAACACCCCTAATTGAGAGTCCGTAACAGCATGGCTCCTCGATAACATAATATCCTAGCCACCACGTGTTGAGCAAAGATGATGGGAATATCAAATAAGTTGCTATAGAACACCTATAACTTATTAGCCAAAGCTCCATTAACAAAAACATGATTAATACTCTCTACACTTGGCTGACCGCAACAACAATATTTTGATGCAAGATGGATATCACGTTTACTAGTCACGATATCAATAGGAATCACACCGTGTTAATTTTATTGTTTGTGATATTGATATACAAATCAAAGTTACATTTTAGTTAATTTTACTGATAATTTGATTGTTTATAAGTTTAATTTATTAATTTTATTCCATGTCCGGTTGGTTGTAATCCGAAATTGATTGGAATCCAGTATCAATCTAACAGATTGGACTATGAATTGAAAAGACGTGAAACTGGTAAAACTTTGTAACCAATCATCCAGTATCACAAAGGTGGACCAATCAGATTTGTCTTCTCTAGCGAGACTGGATTCAATTCTCACAAAATTTAAGCTCACACCGTACTCACTTGCAACCTTGTATTTAGAATATTGTATTTATATCTGAGTAAATTGATAAATTCTTTTATGAAGTTTGATAATTGTAATAATTTMTTCTAAACTTTTTGATATGGTTGCAACTCTTTCGTAGAATCTTTTAAAAAAAGGCATGAAAATGTTTAAAATATTCATATAATTGCTTTTGACAATGTTTATTTTCTAAATTTTTTCTTTATACAAATCACTACCTCAAATCCTTTCATAATTACCTTCTTTTTGGTTCATAAATGCAAAAACGTTTGATTTATTTTTTCAAATTTGCCCATAAAACCAATCATTCAAATGCAAATATGTACTCTACATAATTACCTTCTTTTTGGTTCATGAATACAAACACGATTTACATTTTTAAATTGTCATTATATTCATCTTGTTTATTTGAAATCAATGCAAAGCATGAGCCCATCATTAATGCTCCAATTCCTTAAACTTTGATCAAAAAGCAAAATTATGAAAAACACAAAATTGTATTGAAAAAATAGATACAATAATACTCTCTTTCTCTTTATAGTACAAAAATGTCAAAAAATACATTTTTTATTTCTTGATTACTTTTTTACATGTCAAATAAACACTCAAACACAAATTAGGGTATAAATTTTTTGCTGAATTCGATGCTCGGGCAGCAATAGCATAAATTTTTTATGAATTACCAAGATTCCCCCTATACTATGGGGTCTGTGACAAAGACCTCGCTATACTTTGATTTGCGACAAAGACCATTTCCGTTAGCCTTCGGTCTGAAAAGGCGGATGCAATATTTTTTAATCCCCATACTACCCTGAAAAATACTGTTCATCTTCCCCAACCTTAGATATACGAATRGCAGTAATCCCCTCTAACTCAGATTTATTCACACTTCTCTCTCTCCCCCCGATCTCTCTTCTTCCCCTTCCCCTTTCTCTCCTCCTCTTTCTTCTTTCCCGCTTTCCTCTATTTTCCATTCCTCTCGGCCATAGCCGCACAAGTCGTTGCAGCAGCTAAACCTGTTATTATCAGCAGATAAATCATTTTCTTTGTCATCACTTTCTACAACTCGTTGCAGAGGCCAATCTTGATATTCTACTCTTGGAAGATTTTGCTGGTGCTGAAAGCGGGCATTTCGCATTTGCACTAAAAGATAATAACAAGTAAAAAGTTTCAGTGAATTATCAAAGGTAAAAAGAGAAGAAATAGTGCAGTGAAAGCATTGCATACCGTGGAACTTGTCTACTTAATGCCTTTTGCAGTTTCAAGTTGGGGCTTCTTGCTGCCATGACCTGTATGATTGAAAGGTCATCTCTGACGCTATGTACTAATAAGATCAATAGAAGGAAATACACTAAAGCGAATAACTAACCCGAAGCACAAAATTTCTGTAAAGGGTATTGGGATCCAGGTCTTCCTCATGGTTTTGATCGCATCCTGAAAGACAACAACCAGACAGAAGGAAAGATATCCCATAAATATGTCCTCGGAAAAAAAATGAAGATCCGATGAGAACATAAAAAAAATGAAAAGGGAAATGATTGCATAACAGACATAAGTTTGTCAGTTCTGAAAGTAATCAAAACCAGGACCAAGGAGTACAAACGGAGTCTGCAGGAAGAGAGAACAGAATGTCAAGCCTTAACTTTGTTGTCAATATAATAAACTAAAAGAAGAAGCAATTGAGGTTCAGTTTAACATTTAAGACCAGCATAAGAAGAACAATAGAATCTTGAGTTAAAAACAAGGAGGTTGAAATTAATTTAGATTAGACAAAGTGAAAGCAACATAAGAGCAGATTTTAGTCAGCAGAAGAGAATGTGAATGGTGGAGCTTGTAGACATTTTAAGTTGCATGTAAATCAAATGACAGATCTGGAAATAGAAACAAATAAACAACCTAGACAGTGAAAAAGAAAACGAAATCGATCTAGGCAGCAAACAGGGGAGATAAAAATGTCAGGTTACACAAAATTAACTGCCTAACCATTGAAATCCGCAGAACTGGAGCAAAAACCAAGCGGAATTCGTAGTTAAACGAAAGAGATAGACCTATAACTCACCAACATGCAAACAAAACGAGAAACGATCGTCCGGGCGTGATAGATCAGGTGTACTGAAATCCACAAACTTGGGGCTTTGATGTTCTCATAGAATTCGTCATCGTCTTCGTTGTTGTGGCGGACCACTGATAGGGGTTGCTATTCCATCTTCTCGGACCTTTGCTCGGAAGTTGTGCAAGTGGAGAGTGTCGGAAAGGGATAATGAGATCTGAGTTAAAGAAGAGATGTGCTTGTTCTTTCATTCACTCACTCGCACTGGTTTAAATACCCAGTTTTCTAAGTAGCCGTTGGAGGGGAAGGGGGGGCTTTTCGGGCAATATTTTGATTTTGGAGAGAAGTCGAGAACCGAATATCGGTGGAGAAGAAGGAACGGAATTAGCCGCTGCAACGAGTTGTATCGGCTATGGCCAAGAGGAACGGAAAATAGAGGAAAGCGGGAAGAAGAAAGAGGAGGAGAGAAAGGGGAAGGGGAAGGAGAGAGATGTGAAAGAATCTGAGGTGAGGTAGAGGAGATTACCGCCGTTGTTGTTCGTATATSCTGAAATTGGGAAGATGAATAGTGTTTCTCTTATAAGGGTGATATGGAGATTAAAAAATATTGCAATGGTTTTTTTGGACGAAAGGCTAATGGAAGGGGGTCTTTATTTCACTTCACGGTAGTAACAAAACAAAGTATAGGGGATCTTTGTCACAGACCCTATAGTAAAAGGGGTCTTTATTATTTATCCTAAATTTTTCTTAATTTAAGATATGAGAGATATTCTTAATACACGCCTGTGATTTGATGTGGGACTCGTTGGGGCACGCTAATTGGGGCGCAAGTCTGAACTCATGTATAGGGTGGCAATTGCTGACCAAACCCATTTGATCTGCCCAATTCACCCATTTGAAAGTTGAAACAATTAGGGGTGGCAATGTTACCCGAATCCATTTGACATCCAATCCATCCGCTTAAATATTCACGCATACTCACCCATCATAATAGTGGGTCAAGATGGGTCAAATGACCCATTAGAGTCAGGGGAAGAGCAAAGGGTCAGTGTGGGTTGGGTCAAGGGTATCCAATAGGGTCAGAGCAAAGGGTCAGGGTGGATTGGGTCGAGGGTCAAGGGGTTGGATCGAGGTTTCATCAGAGAGTCTGGGTCTGTAGTCWGTGTAGGGTTCAAAAAAGTCCAAAACCTCGAAGGTTTCTCTATTCTGGGTTTCTCCGCCGTTCTCAGTTCATCTGCTGCAAAATCTCTACTGTTCTCCGCTGTTCTCAGTTCATCTGCTGCAAAATCTCTACTGTTCTCCGCCGTTCTCAATCACAGTGAGAAACTCCGCCGTTCTTAGTTATCTACGGCGATTCTTTACTTTTTTCCGCCATTTTCAATCACAGTGAGAAACTCCGCCATTCACGGTTCATCTGCTGTGATTCTCTACTGTTTTCTTCCGTTCTCAATCACTGTGAGAAACTCCACCATTATCCACCGTTCTCTTGTTTGATGATAAATTTCTAGAAATGGTTTTTGATGAAGGGAAATTTGGCCTGACCTCGCAATCACCCGACACGTGGCAAAAGCAAGCAACTCGGGGCAGCAGAGCGCCCAAAACGAGCACCGAAAGTAACGAAGTCCAAGCTCACTACTGAGCCCGAACTCCACCAGACCGGATTCTCTACTAGGAGCCCGAGCTCCCTACCAAGAACCCGAGCTCCCTACTAGGAGTCCGAGCTCCCTATTAAG